CAGTTTGCAAGTCCTCACTTATTAGAGCTGCTCATATTTTTTAGGTAATCTATAAGATATCGCATACTTGACAACTTATATTTTAAGTCTGACCCGTATATAAGTGTACGTTATATCTATAAATTACATGACATGTGCGTGACGGGAGAGTCTCACGTTGGCCGACTCAACATCGATTATTTAATTGAATTGAGCCTATTAAATTAAACAATCTTATCTCGGGCTTGACCTTGAACCCATTGCACTCTCAACTCATTTAACCTATTCCCATTTCTCTATATATATCAATCAATTTCACAAAAGGCAGGTCATTGTAACACTAGCCAAATACCATCCACAATCTCTTGCACTCATGCTATCTCGTCCAATCGTCAACTTAGCTGTCAAAGTACAAACAATCGTCTAATATTTTTCTCGACTGACGACCTTTGCACCCTAACGGGATGTTTCAATGTGTAGGTGATGCTTACGCGAAAGGAAGATGGTAGACATTCTGTTGATCTCGCGTGTGTCGAATTTTGAGATCAACAATTTTCTTCATTTTTCCCCTAAAAGGAAATGATAATTTCTTTTTGTATGTTCCATGCACGTGTGTGATCTATCCATCCAAAATATTGAGACATGGACACTAGTCATATCTAGTTTTTAGATATTTGGCTGTTTTGTAACCACAAAAATCACTCGATCAAAAATACACAAAGTCCATGTTGCTTGGACAGCTCCATTTACTTCATAATATGAGAGCACACTATATCTAAAAATGACATCAATTTTCAATGGCGTGATGTGTAGGGTTACTAATGTCGTGTTGGCGGTAGTAATGCAATCAAACTCTAAAAATATCTATTACGTATAAACTATAAATTGATTAAATATTAAATAAAACAAATAAATTTCTATTATTGTAATAAACGATCGTGTTTAATGTTATCTATTAAACATTTCATGTTAAATTTTGATTGATTTCTTGTTCAACTCTCAAGGGCTCTTTGTTAAGTTCAAGTTCGGATAATGTTTATAAATTATTTATAATCGATCAAATCACATTATTCATAAAATTCAAAGTACTATTCACTTGTTAACAGTTCTTTTGTGGGCCCATTTGATTTTCATTATTGTAGAATGAGAATGAAAAATATAGCTGTTTTTAGCCCCGATAGTTTGGTGTGATGAATAACGGTGATGTTTTTTTTATTTTTATGGATAAAAAGTAAGAAACAAATGAGGACATACTATCTCTCAAACAGGGGTATTGTCTACGGAACAGAAGTATGCGATTCGTACTTTTACAGCTATATTGATTAGTCAAAGGGTGGAAAATTCATAAACGTGTTAAAAAAAAAAAAAAGCGCGATTTATGGGATTGCAACTGTACGATGTTTGGTTGGTGCTTTGCTTGTGCGTCCAGTAATGAAATCATAATCTTACACAAGTATTTAAATCTTTCCACCGGCTTCTTTTCATTATTATATTACAGTAATCAAAACCCTAATCCTCACAAAATTTCGTATCTCTGTTTTCCCTGCTGATTAAGGTGAGATAATCTTTAGAATCATATATATGATTTGTTGCATATTGATTTCATTACTGTGCAAAATTCATGTTTAAGATCAGATTTATTCTAATTGGGATAGAAAGTGTAAGGGTCTAGATTTCATNGATTCCATTAACGATACTAGTAATAATGATGATAGTGCAGACTATTAGAATTTTTTTTTTTAAGCTGCTTCTTTTTTTCCATTGCAAATAGAGTGATTTCTAACTTTTATAATGCTTTTCTTTTGCCAAACATCTTTCTTTAGGTGGACTATATCTCAATATGTTAATAGCTATATATAATATTTACTATATGCTCCAACTTTTTTTTTTTTTTTTGTATTATTTTAAGCTTTTTGATAAATTTCACAGATATTGAAAAAGGACCACTTATAAATGATTATAATTATTAAAAAAGAAAAGTTATGTATTTCATAAAGTAGTGAGAAAATGCAAGCTGAAGTATCAGAATGGATATCAATGAAAAAAACCCTGTTATTTTTTTGCACTTGGTACACCTGTAAGAGTACGGTGATTCTATTGACAATGTAAACAAAAAGAATGCATTGTAGAAAATAATTCTGTAGAGTTCTTTAAAGGTAATTTGATCTCTTTGATTAGGTCAAGGTAGTTCAATGTATGTTTATGTAGATTGTGGGGGACAAGTTCTAGTGTGTTACATAGGATTCAATTCAAGGGGGTTTAATGTAATCCATCCTTTTCTTTTGAATAAGAAAAACATGAATTACTAGGATAACAATCCATACGTAGAGGGCTGTACAGGAAAAGAATATACAGATAAGCATCCTAAAGACTTTCAGCTTGGACTAATTGATGTAGCTTTTTAATTTCCGTTTATGATTAAACTATAAATAAGATGAACTATGTTATTGTATTAGATGCTGTATAATTTTCGATTGTGATTCTTGTTTTCAGAATTGCTTCATTGAGGCAGAATAACATCTTGGTTGTTTTCTTGTTTACATCCATTGATGGAACATTTCCCCATTTACCATCTTTGTTCTTTCTTTAATTTGTGATCTTCACAAATTAGGCTGAAGCTTCCTTCAGTTCCTGCCTCATCAAATTGGAATCAATATTGAAGTTTTTTAAACACTGGATCGGTCTTAGATCTCTGGATAAAGTGTTTCCTGAGTTAACTCTCTTCATATGTCTGCACCGCTTGATTTATTAGTTCCCTTTCCTGACTTTGACAGCTTCACAGTCATTTCCAGACAGATACTTTCATATGGCAAATATTGAAGATAACCAGGAGCATGGGTGGATAGAAAAAGTGAAATCAGAAGGTTCTGTTCCGCTGCTTGAGCCAGATAACTGCCCAAACGGTTGGGCTTCTCCTTCCGGAGATGTTTTCCAGGTTAGAGGGCCAGAATACTTAAAGACAAAGGCTAAGATTCCTGGTGGTGATTATCTTCTTAAGCCTCTTGGTTTTGACTGGATTAAAGGACCAACAAAGGTTTCAGAGCTCTTAAATGATACAAAAAGTCGAGTTAGGAGAGCTCTTGATGATGAAATTTCAAAGGATTTGAGAAAGCCTTTCGTATGGGCTTTCAATTTGCAAGTCCCAAGCAAGGAAAACTACAGTGCTGTTGCATATTTTGTGGGTATGGAACCAATACCCGAGGGCTCATTGATGGATCAGTTCCTAAAAGGGGATGATGGATTCAGGAATTCAAGATTAAAATTGATAGCCAATATTGTCAAAGGCCCTTGGATTGTGAGAAAAGCAGTTGGAGAGCAGGCTATCTGCATTATTGGCCGAGCAGTTACTTGCAAGTATTGTTTAGGAGAAAACTTTATTGAAGTTGATATAGATATTGGATCTTCAGTGGTTGCAAATGCAATTGTTCATCTTGCATTTGGTTACATAACAACACTCACTGTTGACTTAGCTTTTCTTATCGAAGGCCAAACCGAATCAGAGCTTCCAGAACGAATCTTAGGAGCCGTTAGATTTTCTGAGCTCAATACTGCTTCAGCAAGACAAGTTGAACTGCACTCTGAGAAGAGCATGGAGAATTTGCAGTCATCACTTCCAACAAGATTTTGGAAATCACTTGGTCAGGGCTTCTCCCAACTTATTAAGCCAGGTGGTCAAGAAAGTGATTCCAACTCCCATGCAGCATATGTCAATGGGGGTGTTGATAACAAAAGTAGTGCAGATGTCAACAAGTTATAGGTATTACATTTTGAACACTAAATTAAATTCCCGAATAAGCAGCAGCAGTGCTTTAGCTAGCATCCTCCTAGGTGTATTAAGTTACTGGTGAATTTGCCGCCAGCTTAAATTACTAAAATTTATAAGTATGACATCATTGCTAGTAGCTGGAGAAGTAACTGATAATGACCACAACTACAACAAACTAAACCTTATATAAGTTTCGGATCCGATGCAGGAAATATAAGATACCATAATATCTGATCCTTAGCAAACCCATTATGCCTAGTTAATTCCTTCCCCCATCTCTTTCTCCCCCCTAACTTGTATTACTGGAATCACAATACTCTTGTTGGAGGGAGCTTCTTTAGGTCTACTCAAGATACTGCTCAACTACTGTAGTCGACCTTCTCTCAGCTTATCCTGTATTGGAGTTATGTCCACTAGTTTGTATATATTCATTTCATATGTTATCCAGTCTAGTACATGCACACCCATCTAGTGCATAAATTATCAAAAGCTGCAATTTGAGAAAGTTTTCATACCCTGTTAAAATACTCGTGCGAAATTGATGTTCATGCTTTCATTTTATACAAGCTTACTTTGACTTTCAACCGTTGGAAGATTATCTTTCCCATTTTGTCGGTAATATTAATCTCAAATAATTTATGTTTGAATATGTATCTTGGAATATCTAAATTTGGATCTGTTATGTTGGTATCGACTTTGCTTATTACCTGATGGTTTGTTTCCATTTATTGTTTCTTTCGGAATGTTTTTGTAGTAAACTGTAGTGTCACGAAGAGCACTATTACTTTAATTTTACAAATCATATCTGAAGCAGATAGTATTTGCATTTCTTCCTTCCTTGCATTTTGAGATTCTTTTCTTGAGCCATCCTCTAGAATTTTTTTTGAACTTTTGGCTATGTTATCCTGATATTTTTTCTAAATGCCTTGGCTAAAAAGTCCCGGAAGCTTCAAAAACTTCAGTCTGAATCCTTCAAACTTAGAAACCACATCTTTGTCGAAATATTAAACCTCATAGCCTACTTTTGAATTGTCAGGAACTTTGCAGAATCCAGTTGGAATAAGTGATAATAGAACCTCTTTTTACGTCAATATTTTTACAGTCAGAAAATTATCGACTTCCTTCTCCCACAATTGAGAATTTCCTGTGTTTTGACTTAAGAACCTATATTACTATCTGTTAGTATGGATATGCTATACGTGAGGCTAGTATTACTCTAAACTTCCTTGCTCTTGTACGTTGCAATTCCAATAGAAATCAAGGGAGCCAACTACCCCTCCCTCGTCCCAAAGAAGAGATGGAAACATGCATTATAGAAAGGGCCAGTGGCGTAGGGAGGACCCCCACTGAAATTTGAGAAATTATTTTTCGTATGAATTTTTATTTGATATATTATATTTTATATTTTTAAAAAAAATTGTTGGTTAAATTAGGCCTGGATCCGAATCCTGGCTCCGCCACTGGAAAGGGTCCCTAACTCTTGGTGTAAGGTTTGTTTGTTTGTTTGTTGTCTTCTTTTTTTTTGTGTTTGTTGACTTGTATAGTGTTCAACTCTGGTCAATTACTTCTATTGGGATTTAACGTTTTTGAGCCCCCTTTGTGCATTTTTCTTTCATTCCATGAGAAGAGATTAATAAGTCTGTTACTTGCAGGTCCTTGTCGCCACTGATATCACATTTGATTCCCATTAGAAGAGATTAATACATTTCTTTGCAGTTCTTCGAAGTGCATATTGAACCTTGAGCTTCCATTTTCCATTTGCAAGTTGTACTTCATGTATATTTATTGTGGGATAAATCTGAATGAACTGCCCACCCTAGAGCAGCAATATATCTCCTGTTTTTAGCATGAGTCTTATGATTTCACCATTAGTTCTTCCCACACTCAGTGTGTCTATGTTTATAGTACAAGATCAATATGAATGACAATTGAATTGCATCCTCTAATGAATTCTGTACATATTTTCCTTTTGATGTTTCCCTTCTTTCCTTTTTGTTTTTAAGAGTTGAAGCATGTAGTGCAACTTTTTCTTTCTATGCTTTCAATTCTGTGTGTGTGTGTGTGTGTTTGGGGGGTACGTTGGAGAGAGAGAGACTACTACAATGGTTTTTGCAACCCCTAGAGATTGAGAACTACTTTCCTTGTACATCCAGAAGGGTTATAGTAGTGGGAAAGCTAGATTTGCCTCAATTATTTGTCTCCTTCTCTCAAATTAGCTTCGACTATTTCAAGAGTTGATTTTTCCCCAATATCCGAATACTTTTGATTGAAATTACTGCATATTTGATTCCATCCAGGGATCATGGACCAACCATAGAATCATGCTCAATAAGTGGAATGCATTAGTTGTTTGTTTTCAAGTTGGACAGTAAGTGTCGAAAAAAGGACAAACAAAAGACTATACAATATAACGAACAAGGTTTTAACATTTTTCTTTCCTCCTAATAAATCTAGTCTTCCCTACTGAACATGTATGTACTACTCTATTATGCTTTGGAAGATGCATAGGCATGTAAACTGGAGCTCCCAGTTTTCCTTATTTGAGAGGACAAATGCACTAGACTGGAGAACAATGCCATAATAAGATGTATAAATGACTCCAGAACCAGTTTTGATGATCAGAAATCAAACCTACAAAAGGCTGATCACAGGATAGTGAGCAAGAGATGTTGGGTCTCAGATACGTTCAATTCATAACCAAATAGCCGATAAACAGCTATTCATCAGCTGTCATATAACGTACATTTTGAGGGCTAACACCTGCCTTTAATTAGGGTAAGGCGAACATTGTACAGTTTATGTTGAACTAATTCAAATAGCTTCTTGTAGATTACAACAAAGGAGCGATAATTATCTTCAGGAACATAATTTTACCCTGTAAGGTTATGGGGTACTGATCATGTACAACAAAGATAAAAATTACTTGCATATTATTGCCCCCAATAGAAATAAATCATGGAAAATATAAATTTAACAGAAAACCAACATCAAAATGACTTGAATGGAACTTAAATTACAATTGGATGTGGTCACCAGTTCGAATCCCCTTAGGGCCACTGAAGTGAGTATCCGACCGTAAACCTCAGAGTCTCGTGGAATTAATCGAGGTGCGCGCAATCTAGTTCGGACATCTACGGCTATAAAAAAAATTACAATTGGATAATGCCCACTACATGATCCGAAGCAGGTCCACAATTGTCCTAACTTATATCCAAAAACTACACGCGCGTGCGCGTGCACACAGATGTGCAGCAGAAACGACCATTCTCTTATCAAATAAGATTTACAAACTCAAGATGCCCAATGCTGAATGGCAATAGAGAGGAGAGAAGGGGAAGGAGGATACACTGTTCCTGTTAATAAACATGTGATCAAATGCACATATTTATTGAAGCTAAATCCAATTATGTCACAGAAACAGTCCACTCCCTCAAGCAATCAAACAAGTTATATAAATTCATTTGGCTCATGGTCGACCAGCTAGTCTGCACCAAGGCAAAGTACTCCTTACTCTACACATTTAAGCGACGACCTTTTGCTTTTTGAAGTGGAAAAACTTACCATCCTTGATTAAGGCAATACTGTTGCTGCGATATGGGTTTTTAACTCCAAAATATCTATAAACATCACGAGGATGTCTGGGGAGATCCCATTTACCTCTTTATTTATTGAAGGCTTAGGAAAAATCATTAATAATACTACTGAAATGTAACCACCAAGCAAAGAGTATTTGCAATCATATAACAATAATCAGGCATGTTCTTCTGCCCACGGTAGGAAGTCTTATTTTACCCACTTGGAGAGAACCCAACGTGAGATTCTCACATTAGAGAGAACCCAACGTTGGGTTTTCCTACCACATCAACAGGTGGGCAGTCTTACTCTGCCCACCGTGGACAGGAGAACAATTCCATAACAATAATTAGGGCTGTAAGCAAAAACCG